CCGCTTCAGAGAGGCGTCGATCAGATTGACGGATGGCGTTTTAATAGACGTTAACGCTGGACACGTGTCGTGTCGACGGCCGGCTAATATTACGTCGTTAGGCACAAAGTTGCAAGCTACACGAGAAACCCGTTGAGGAAAAAAGCGATTTAATTGGGCCGAGTTGATTGAATCCTGGAAAGTCCGCGACGACGCCGACGCCCCAAATCTGCCGGCAAATGGAGAAAAACTGCGATTATAACTGCGTTCCGACATGAAAAAAATGATATCCTCGATTCGGAAGCGGCCAAAATTCACGCTTTCTTTACATCACGAGAGCTACATGGAAATTATATTCTTTTCGGCGAGACGAGAATCGAGACGGAAGCGCGATAAAATCGAAAGGGGATCTCGCGTCCGCTGTATAATCGTCTTACAGCGCCTGATTGAAATTTTGCAGCTTTTCGCCTCTGCGTTGAATGCTTGTTAGTATTTCAAAGTAGTTCGCCGAGAGAGAGAGAGAGAGAGAGAGAGAGAGAGAGAGAGAGAGAGAGAGAGAGAGAGAGAGAGAGGTATAGTTTACCCACGTCGTCAATTACAGACGTCGAGTCACGGAGCGTGAACTTGCCTCACCCTTGCGAAACTTGCGCAGCTTTACTGTTGCAAAATGCATACGTACCACCCCGTGATATTACCTGCAGCCAAATTCGTAGAGCGTTCTGCTCGCCGAGTTACCTTAACAGTCAATGAATCTGCCGTCGTCTTACAATTTACGATATTATGCTACACCCCGTGGCACCCCGTGTGCCTAAACTAAAGGGCACAGGGTGAATAATAACAGCGGGCGGGGGACGCCTCCTGTCGAAATTCCGTCGCTGCTCCGCGGATGATAGCGCTGTTGGCCGTCGTGCTCCTGCGAACTATCGACGTAAAATTGCTCTCTCGCAGTTGCTTTCGCGTCGGGCTTTACGTTGCTCGGCGGGACCCGGTATCGGCCCGGTTTGCGGTCTCTGCGATCCTCCGCATTGCGAAACGTCAGATCTATGTGCGCGCGTGTCTCGCCTCTGTGTGGAATCCGACGACCGTCGACCCTGAAAAGACCCGACTAGAAATTTATCCCATCAGCTCCTGATCAGGTTAACCTCATTTGGACATCAGGCCCCCAATAAGGTAAATACTATCGGGTTCTTAGTAAGTCATGTAACGCAGCGTGGATATATCAGGACCTCAGTAAGGATTCATAGTCAGGTCCTTATTGAGTCCTTACCTCACGGAATCCTTATTACGTTTTTCTTTTTTTTCTTTTTCAAATTATGGCATTCAAATTCTGGATTACTCGCTGCACGGCTGTATCGGACGGTGACATTAGAAATAAGAAAGAAATGACACGCCGAAAATTCTTTCATGTCACTTCCAAATAAAAAGATATTTGCACGAAATAATATTTTAGGTCGCTTGAGCATGTACTTGTAAAATGTTTCGGAAAAGAAACATGAAATAAGAACTGACCTACTTAGGATTACCTTTCATTCGCTCTATCAGGTCCTTCATCAATGTTAGGCGAACCTGATCGAAATTTCTAGTCGGGGAGTTCCCCGTGCGCCCCGCGCCCTTCGCGCGTGCGGAATTACACCGCTGCTGGCGGATCACTCACGTGTGCGACCCCGTCGAAAATGTTCCGCGGTGTCACCGAGCCATCACGCTCCGGGTCCGCCGGCGTGGCAGCTTTACTACCTGCACCTGCCGGAGCGGTGGAGCGATTTGACGTTTGTGCGGAACGGCCGCCGAGAAATGCGCAACGTCTGCTCGCCCACGCGAGGTATGGTAGCGCCACGATCGCTTTGGTAGCTTCGTAGGTGCGCTGGAATTCGAATCTCGTCATTAATTGGAGAACGACGCGCTGTCCGCAACGCTCTCCCTCTCTCCTCTCGGTCGTCGGGCTCTCGCCAGCCCGACAAACGACTGACCCCGATTTTCCCGGAAGCTTACGTTAGCTTTTCCGCTCGAGAGCCGCCGCTCAAGTTTTCCCGCCCAGTCGTTATGCCAGCTGTCCACAGCTGGCTCCTCGCTCGAGAGAATTGATTGTGACCCGGGAAATACACGTTCGTTTGGGGAAAACGCTGTTCATCAGCGAGTTTGTATTTGATTAAGCCGGGAATAACGCGCGGGTAAACGAGATGGCGCGACGCTTTTGTAATCCGAGAGAGCAAGCGGGCGAAGGGACGTGGGGAGAGGGGGACGGGAGTACGTTCTCGTTCAGGCCGTCGTTATGTACGTTCCTGACGAGCTCGTCGCACCCTCGAAGATTGCCGCGTCCGCGACAATGACCCAACGCACGGTGATGATGCACGAATCCGCCGAGTTTCGCCTGCGTGCATGCGAGAAAATTGTTAATCCCCCCCGTTTATCATGTCGCGCGTATTACGTACAGCCCCCTCCCCCCCGCCTGTAGCCGGCGGTGCAAATAGAGCTGAGACGAGAAGAGAAGCAGCGAGCTCGAAATTAGCCGCGTTTAACGCCGCGCAGTTACGTCGCGCGGTAATTGGCAGAACAAACTCCGCGGATTACCGGGCGAATTGCGCGAGCCTCGCTGAATCTCCCGCGCTATGACTGGCTAGTCGCGCGAGGTGCAATTGAAAATGCGATTTCGTCGATCGGACGATCGACGGGGTGTGTCGATGCTCTCTCGCGCTTCCGCCCGAGAAAAGCGCGGAAAAGCGCGTCGGGTGAAGCTTTGCGGCGCGAACAGCCGCAACGACGGAAATCTCCGAACCAGGACTTGGAGCTTGAACTGGAACTCGTGCTTATCGTGCTGTTTGTTTGTCTCATCAACGACGAGGGGGGTCATCATCTCTTTGGTGTAACGCACGGTATTCTAATTGCGTCGTGCTAAACGCAACGTCAATCATGTCGATTGTTTCACCGAGCGTCAAGCGAAATCGACGCAAGCGCAAGCGTCGCACCGGTCGGGCCGGTTGACATTATTTGGTTGAAAATTCTCTAGAGACCTGAATTTCCAGCCGATCATCGACACCAACGGGTGAGGTTGATCCTGAATAAATTCCGAAGAGATCTGTCTTGCCGAAATTTAAAGAGGAATTTTCTTCTCCAATTATTAGCCCCGAAAGAGGAAAAATTTTCGTTATATCGCGAGAAACTTGTGAAATACTCATTATTCGACACTTATTTCTGTCTAATAGCGTATTCAGCGGATTGAAAGTATGAGACCAATCAACAGACACCTCGAGATTTATCGATCTTCAGCCAGAAACCCATTTAACCCAAAACTCATATGCCGAAAATACAAAAACATCAGATATAGACCCGTTAAGCACAAAACCGAGGGATTTTGAGTCTTGATCCGAGAACTTTTTAGCTCGTGGACGCATGAAGCCGTATATTATTAAGAGCCCCAAGTAGTCCAAGAACCCAATCTAGCCATAGCTCGAGCCATAACCTAATAACACTCGACGTTGAATATTCAGCTATAAAACATTAGGTACCGAGCCTCGAAGTTTTTAAGACAAATCTTAAACCCGCGAACCCTGAAGCGATAATTTTTTTCAAAATTTCGGCTAGACAGATCTCTTTGGAATCTATTCAGGATCAACCTCATCCATTGGTGTCGATGATCGGGTTGGAAATTCAGGTCTCTACACTGCTAGGAAAAAAAATTTAGTATCTCTAACAAAACTGTTTAGTCGAGGCATTTTTCAATAGCAACCAAATATCTTGTTTTATATAACAAAATATCTGTTTGTCTCAACTAAACATATTCTTTTGCTTTGTTCTCTGGACCACAAATAATTCGGTTCTTAGGCTTCATATATAAAAATTAAGCATTTTAGTTATTTTGTCCATAAAAATAATAACGAAATATTATTTTACATAAACTAAAATAATGCCCAATGGATACTATTTTCTACTTTCTGTGCACTAAAATTTTGATTTTATATTTTACAATATATTAAGAAAAAATTATAGTATTTTTAACAAAATTCATATAATAGTTGAAGCTTTTTGGTTGCTATAACAAAAGTATTACGTTATACGAACAAACCGTAATCAAACAAGATATTTGTTTGCAGGAACTAAACAGTTTTGTTTAGTTCCTATTTTTAACCAAATTATTTTGTTGTCGCAACAAAATTTTGGTTCACGCAACAATACATTTTTCCCAGTGTAAAGAATTTTGCACCAAAGAATGGCTCATCTGGCTCTACTGTGCGTCGGGGGGGGGGGGGCGTGCAAGCGGAGAGTGTCAATCTCGTGCAACCCCGGCGATATTTCGGCTAACTAGACCAGTTTACTTATCGGTGACTTTATTCTTCTTCTCTTTCTGTCCCCCGCGGTCGCACGCCGGCGACTATTTCCGGCCACTTCCGCGAACGCGTTATTCTCGGGTCCACTTTGTCGCGAGACCATTTTCTGCCAAATAGGTCGCATGGCCGGCGAGCTATTTACTTCGACTCATCATCGGGGTCGTTTATTAATAGTTGGCGGAAAGCTCCCATTTCCCTCTTTCTTCCTCCCCCTGTCTGTCTGCGTGCAAGGAGGACTTTCTCTCTTGCGTGTTCCCGTCCGCGATCCGTACTTCTTTCGGACAAGTTTACGCGAGAACTTTAGTTTGCTCATCCTAGTTTCGCCGCGGGCGAAACTAGAAACGGTATTTGGCGAGTTAGCAACAGTGAGCGTGTTTCTGATGAGAGAGAGAGAGAGAAAGTCAGTCATCCGGAACATTCGTCCAGAATTATCAGACACACTTCCGGACACACACACACACACACACACTTTTAATGATGGGGCTCTTTGAAGCGCCGAGGGGAAGAGGATCGCGTCTCAATTTTCCAGCGATGTCTCGTCCACGTCCAGTCCGTCGAGCGCTCTCCTCGGCGTAGAGAAGCCATCCGCTACTCGATACAAAGTTTCTTAAATGCGATCGCCTGTCGATCGCCGGAAGCGTTCGCTCGACTCCCTGTCAGTGGCAGGACGTCGCTAATAGGAAACTCTTATGATTACAGGTGGATCCATCAGGGGGGAGGTTGAACCCGGCTCGAACGAGCTCACACCTGGCAGACGGGCTGGCGGCGGCGGTGGCGGAGGCGGTGGCGTCTTGGGGGTCGGTGCCGGCGGCGGCGGTGGCAGCGGCGGGGGCGGGGGTGGCTCGGGGAACCGCGGCTCCTCCGGGGGCGGCCGCTCGAGGGACGAGCCGAGGAGGCACACCCTCGGCGGCGATCATCAGCCCTCCCTTCATCATCAGCAGTTCAACGCGGCGCAGCAGCTGCACCCCCTTCACCCTCATCATTTGCCGCCACCACACGGCCAATACGGCACCCCACCCTCGCGGCACACCACCATGGATCTCGAGGTGAATCTTTGCTCGCGCAACATGTAAATACATATCACTTATTGTTTGCGATGATTTCTCTCTCTCTCTCTCTCTCTCTCTCTCTCTTCTCTACATCTCTACTTTTCTCCCTGTAACGTCGCGTGCGATATCCACGACGTCGATATCTCCCTCTATTTTTTAACATTTTCTCTTTACACGGGAAAATCTCTCGACGATTCGAGCAGGAGACTCCTCTCGCGTGACTTTGACAGAGGAGCCTCTGTGCTCTCTTCCTGTGTGTTTCTACGTTTTTGCAATTTTTTCATATTGATGTCTGTCAATTGGTCAATTTCGCAAGGAGAACAGGACGACGTGAGTTTCGTCGTGTTTTCGATAATGGGGATGGTGGAATCTGCAGATGTTTTCAAGGTATCGAATAAAGGTGTACTCGACTGAATTACACAGCGGTTGAATGGTGTCTGGGAACGTTCACGCGCAGCTTTCCCGCAATCGAAAACCAAAGAAACGCACGTTTTCGGGCCCTTTTCTCTTGCAAGATGCGCGGACACACACACATCCCGCGCTCTCTTTAAATTTGCTCATTTGTTTCTGGTTGTAATGTTGAAATCCCTATCTCCCGTTCAATTTGTCACTCTCTACCTCCCGCATCAGTTCAGGGAAATCTGTAACCCTTTTCACTGCGTGCCCAAAGGGGTTTATATCCCAAGGTAAAATAAATTTACATGCGCATCCTCGAGCTCCCTGCCGAGGGAAGATGGCACCCACCCTCTCCGCGTCGATATCTGGGGTCGCTCGGTTTTTGATGGGGTGACTGAACGCTTCCCCCCCGCCATGCGCTGATCGATACCGTTGTTCAATCTTTCGCAAAAGTGTGTGTGTGTGTGTGTGCATGAATACTTGATACCCGAGTTTTGCTCGCGAGACAACTTGGTAACGCCGCAAAGTTGGAAGCGCAACGTATCGATTCGATATCGGCGCGATTTGGTAGTCGGAGCGGGCTGTGAAAGCACCGAAATTTATGTATATGAATAGCAATTTTGCATAATTCCTTTCTGATCACGACACACTGACTCGTGCACACTTATTGTCGCTCGTATGATTCCGTATCGAGTTACCGCGATATATACGACGAAGCAGGGGCGACTCCGTTTCGCTTTATACCTTCGACAATTCGCACGCGTGACACGCGTAAAAATAACACTCGAGAGAACACACCGGGCGTTATCGGCAAACGCAGTCTCGCCGGCGTTTCTCAACGCGTAATTTATCCCGGCCGCTGATGTGTTTGCGAGCTCATCGTCGCACTTTTGCAGTTGCACTTTTAGAACGCTATACCGAGAGCGGAATTAAAACGTCGCTCGTTCCTCTTTCCGCGCAGCGGAAGAAAAAAAGTCCCGCGCGCGCGGAGCGCGCAAGATTATGCCCGTCCAATTTTTCATCCGCGGCAATACAAAATTCCGTTCAACGCGTATCACCTGTTATATCCGGGCGGAATAATGTCGGTGCCCGGGATACTTTTCACCGTCTATCAAGCCGGGTTGGGAAATGTTCAGCCGTCCGACGCGATGACGAATGCCGTACGCGCAACAACAGACATGGAGGAGGACACCGGCGAGGGAGAGAATCGTTTTCGGCGAGACGCGATAAGTGCGTAGTCTCCGCACCTCTCTCTTTCTCCCTCTCTCTCTCTCTCTCTCTCTCTCTCTCTCTCTCTCGTTTCGGCAATGTTTCATTCAAGAAAGAGACGCGCTTCACTGCGCGAAGAGGGTCACCGTTTATTTGCGGAACACGTGAATGCATACACCCCGTTATTTGCCCGTCGTCTCGAATTCCTTCCTCGCTCCTCTTTCTCCCCGAGGAAAGTGCGTCGCTCGCGCGTGGTTTATTCTTTGCGAGAATGCACGTTCCGATAAATTATACAACGTTCGCGCTCTCAGCCCGATCGGCCGACGGCCGGCTGAAGGTGGATGTGTAACTGAAATTGATCTCCGTGCTTTACACGCACCGCGCGGAATCGCGTATCATAATTTCTCCAGCGGAGAAATTTGTACGTGAACCTGCGGAATATGGCCGTTACTTTGACGAACGAGGAAAGCGCGGTTCGCTTACGAGCGAGCGAAGGAGCGAAGGAGCTACTTGAACGCGTCGCGTCGGCTGGTTGTTGCTCCGCCCGATCGATCGTTTTCCTCTTTCTTCCTCCTCTTTTTCCATGCAACGCGCACTTATCTTCGTCGCGCACATTGACTGCAGATCTGGAGAAAATATTGTCGCTGCTTCGCGGCGGTCGCGCGCGGTCAAGAACCGCCGCGGTAACGAGAGGAAGCGCTCAATTAATTACCGTTCACCTACGACGTCCTCGTTTCTTGCGCTCGCGAGTAATTGAAAAGTACCGACACGAACGAACGTAAGTGTATCTGCGCAAGCTCCGTTCGCGTTTCACCTTCCCAGATTTCTGACTCACTTTTTCCTTCGCTTTAATTACCCGGCTGTTTAAACTTTTGCCGATAATGGCCCGCGGCCGCTGTTAATTATGGCTTTTTCATTTTTCAACTCCGCTGCAGTAGGCATTCACCTCGCCATGACGAATATATCTCGCTGTTTTCGAATAAATTTGGCGAATCGTGAGCCGAGAGAGAGAGAGAGAGAGAGAGAGAGAGAGAGAGAGAGAGAGACTCGTGATGCCTCTCGGAGGGAGGGACACCGGATGTGAAAAAGATAATGAAAACGTGCGTCAATCTCAGCGAGAGCGATCGCCGGAATTTGCTGTGATGAACGTTGAACGTTACAGTTTTCAATGGTGTGTTTGCGCTCGATAATAAAATGACAGATATAATACGAAGAATTTTACACCGAGGGGGAGATAAAATCAACATTGTTATCGTTGCGTCGTCGGTAATCTTCGTAATTCATTTTTCTCCTCGTGCACGTCTCTGACTGGCCCCTTCCCTTTTATAGACTCCGATATGAAACGTATGTAATTTATAATTTCGTCAAGCTCGAGGCATCATTCGTGATTTTGTGCAAACGTGTCGCGAAATCGATTCGCGATATTTAATACTCGCGAGCCGATACCGGTTTTCATCGAGACACGGAGATCCACGCATGTTTTTCTTCGCGAGCGAATGGCCTGCCTGCCATTCACTCTGATCGCAAACGCAATTCCTGCGGGTGAGCGCGTCCTCGAGATTTCGATTGCCCTTGACGTTACTGAATCTCGAGAATCTCGATTTATTATCGCGAGATCCAAAGATCTCGCCGGACTCGTGTCGGGCGGACGTCGGCCGATCGATTAGCCAACCAGCCAGCCTCCCCCCTCGCCGGGCACGTGGTTATTGAACATCCTCCGGTCCGGGGGTGTAGGTCTTCGTGGTTTGTAGGAGATAATCGAACGTAGCGCGCAGGTGGTGCACACTCGAGAGATAGCGGATATGGCCGTTACGTCATCGCGCCCGGCAACTCCGCCGTTAATTGACGCTCGACTTGGCTCGCGCTCCGTCCTGCCGCGCGACGCGATACGACGCGACGCGACGTGGGCCACGTGAAAAACAAAATTGCGCTGTGGACCACGAAATTACGCTGCCCGAAACAATTACCGCGGGATCGTCCTTGCGAACGATTCCGCAAAGCGGACTAAACGATGCGAAAACAACTAAAATAACACAAAGTCCGCGCAAAGCCCGCGCGCGATCGACGACTGTCCGACTGCCCCCCCACCCACCCCCACCCCTCCCTCCCAGTCGGGAAATCTGTTTTTATAATATTCAAAGGACATTTTTCCAATGTATATGCTTGCGTTACAACGACCGCATGTAACGATACTGCTCGTAGTATCACGTAGAGACAGAGAAAAAGATTCGGCGGATCGGAGGACGCGCTCGAGAAGGGGATACAAACTTAAGAAATGACGAATGAACTTTCTCATCGGCCATACATAGAAACGTCACTCGCGACAACATTGCGACAACTAATCTTGGACACACAGAGTCAAGGAGTCCGGCCCGTAGTCGCGCCCGTTGATGATGAAAGCAGCCGAGCCCGGTCATCGCTCGCACACAGCTCACGCACTGTATTTCTCTCTCTCTCTCTCTCTCTCTCTCTCTCTCTCTCTCTCTCTCTCTCTCTCTCTCTCTCTCCCATCCCTTCACTTTGCTCTCGCGTGGCATACAACGACCCTAACCCTTCGTTACAGATATGCATTCACGTGTAACCCGCGCGCGCTCGGTTTTTCTCCCTCCTCCGCTATTTTCCTCTTCTTTCCCTTCTCGTTTTTTTTTTTTTTCTTTTTTTTTTTCCTTTCCCTTTGCTCTTGTCTTGCTACCTACTGTGCACCTTTTATCTCTTATCTCGGAGCATTAGCAACATCCTTGCGGATATTTACAACGCGTCACCCGCCCTCGAACGCGAGTTTCACACATGCACACGCGTTGAATATCGCGAGCGCGCCGACCACGCAATCTTTGTCTCCGCGAATATGATACATCTGCGCGGCGTAATAACGTGTCAGAGACGCGGGACGGCCCCAAGGGCACTTTCCTCGGCGGAAAGTTTTTTCGCTGCAATCGCACTTGGGCGAAGGAAAGAGCGAGAGAGAGAGATAACATATATATATATATATATATGGCACGGGAAACTACTCGAATTACTCGCATCCATCGCGCGGTTAACGGGAAGTACATTCGACGAGAGAGGAAGACACTTTGCATTTCCTCGCGTTCGCGCGCGCGTACGTGTGCTCCTCTCATTATTCTTCCTTGTACCGCGAAGCATCGTCGTAAAGGAAAAGAGAGGATATTGACGTTCTCGTAAGGATAACTTGGCCGCCGACGACGATTTACGAAGCGTAATTACGTCACGCTACAGGTAACAATTGAATTACCATAAACGCGCGCTTTAGCGCGCCTTGAGCACCGAAAAACCGTTCGCGGAACGCGTTTCTATTACGAGCAGGAAATTGACGCCTATGTGGTATTCAAGCAACCGCAATTACGTTCGAGTTACACGACCGATCCATCAACAGGAGAGAGACAGAGAGAGAGAGAGAGAGAGAGAGAGAGAGAGAGAGAGAGAGAGAGAGAGAGAGAGAGAGAGAGAGGGAGGGAGGGAGAGAAAGAGAGGGGTTCGATCGTCAACGATACAACATCGCACAATTGCGCTGCTCTTTTCGGAACGCGATCGTTTCCAGCGAATCGTCTCTTCTTTTTTCCTCTCTTTCTCTCTCTCTTTTCCCTCTTCCCTCGACATTTTCTACTTTGCAACGTATCGCACATATCTAACTGGTTTTTACTTTGTGTGTGTGTGTTTCCGTGTGTTACCTGCCGCACCGCCACGACAGATGGGGACCAAGTCTCGCCAGAGAAAGGTAATTTTTCGATTTTTTCCACCCTTTTGACACGCAAGCCTGCCGATCGATTCTTTTTGCCTCGACGTGCATGTCGGGGCATGCTGACACGGTTGTACGATCGTTTTCTCTCTGAGTGACATTTAACCCTACCGTCCTCCCCACCGTGTGTCTAATTGTGCGCTGTAAAAATGTCGTGAGCATGTACACCCAGCGTCATGCGATCAAGTTTCCGTTGGCCGACAGAGCCGCGCGTATCGGAACGTGAGTTACAGTGAGGACGCGATTTTTCATTCATCCGAATAAAACTTGCTTTCAAACTCGAGAGAGAGAGAGAGAGAGAGAGAGAGAGAGAGAGAGAGAGCGCTCTATCGCTGTTCGACGTTAATTCAATTTTTTCGTACACTACGTATGTTCATACATGCAATTTCGATTACCGTGTCAAGTGCGCCGAGAGTGCGCAAAATCGACTACAAAAGCGCCTTTAGAACTCTTGTTTCGGCAATCGAACGTGCCTTTCCTCTAAATTTCCAGCGCCGGTAAATCTGCAGTTTCGCGGATCCAGTCCGCGGAAAAATTTGCAAATTATCGACTCGCGCAAATTCAGTCGATTCAGTCAGCGTAGTAATTTCGACGATTCGCTCGTGTTATCTCGTCCTCACGCGCAATCAGACACGAGGAAGCGCGTTAAATCGCTCGTTCGAGTCTCTCTCTCTCTCTCTCTCTCTCTCTCTCTTCCGAGGATGCCGCCGAGGATAGCGGGGGACGGGGGAGGGTTCATAACGTGACGCGGGAAACGAAGAAAGAACAGTCGCGCTCGAAAGCCGTCGCAAGCCTCACCGAGTCGATATGCTTTCAGTCGCCTCTTCCGCGCGGCTATCCGCCCCCATCTTCGACGATGCTCTTCGACGACGACCCGGGCATCATGTCCGAGGTGGAAACCTCCAGCACTGGATTTCGACGGGGTGGCAAGCAAAGGAGCAGCTTGCCCGTCGTACGAACACCTAGCAAGACTCTGGAGCGACCACTAGGTAATTCCCGAAATATACTTGTAAGCATCAGCAACCGCATGATTCTTGCAAGCAGCCGTAGTCAACATCCATCCCTTTTTGACCCTAACCTGTCGTTAGCGAACACACAATTGTCGGTCGCAAAGAAGAAGCTGTCGAAATCCGAGTTGAAAGAATGCTCGCGATTGTTTGAACAACGCGGTAGTTTGATCTCGGCTTTAAAAAAATAATCCCCTCCCCGCCGTGCGAATTGACAGATTCGAGATGTATCGCCCGATAATATCGACGCGCTCTATTGACAAACCGACGCAAATATTTTTCTCCTTCTGTTCCTACGCGACCTCCCAGGATTGGTGTTCCTGCAGTACAGGAACGAAACGAAGAGAGCGTTGCTGCCGAATGAGATTACCAGTATAGACACCGTCAAGGCTCTCTTCGTCCGAAGCTTCCCGAAACAACTCACTATGGAATACCTGGACAGTCCACACGTCAAGGTTTACATACACGACAGCAACAAGGACATGTTCTACGAACTGGAGGATGTAAGGTGAGCTTTCTCGACTATCGTAAGTGCGCTACTCGTTCGCTAAACATTTCTCTCACAGCGAGTAGATTAAATTCCCGCGCGTAAGAAGGACGTTTTTCAAGGGCGATCGTTATTATTATCGTCCTACCGCGTGCGCGCGTATCAAAAGGCAGGAATACGCCCCGTCACATTTCAACGACAAAATCATCTCGGCTTTCAGATCGCACCTGAGAGACATCAAAGACCGCAGTGTTCTGAGACTCTTCGAGAGCGCCGACGGGGTGACAGGAATGCCCGGGCCTATGGGGGTGCCGGGCGGCGGAGGTGGCCTACCACCCCATTGGGAGGATCAGAGCTACTTCAGCGAACCGGAATTCGACAGCGAATATCAGCATCAGCACATTCACAAGAGCAAAGTAAGTGCACGTTAACGAGATTCCGTCCTTAGTCCGACGCTTTCATGCCTTCGCCTTCTTAGAGAACGAGATCAGATCTGCTCGATGACGATGAGAGATAGAGAGAGAGAGAGAGAGAGAGAGAGAGAGAGAGAGAGAGAGAGAGAGAGAGAGAGAGAGAGAGAGAGAGAGAGAGAGAGAGAGTGAGAGTGAGTGAGTGACACACACAATGTTCTCCCCGGCGCAATTACGCGCGCGGTGTCGCCCCCGAAAGGACATTTCCCTCCGTGTCGTGCCGGTGCTGCTCAAATACTCGCAAATGAGACAAAAAGAGAGAGAGAGAGAGAGAGAGAGAGAGGGGCACGCCGCAACGGTTCATAAAAATTTATTCGATACACACATCGCACTCTTACGCAAGAGAAAGAAAAAATAATATCACTAGGACTAAGTCTTGAGTTCACCAAGAACTGCACGCTGCTGATCGATCGAGGCGGTTTTTATCGTTCGCTTGGTCACCTCTCTCTCGTCTCGATTCAAAGCCGATCGATCAACCTCGCAGACCTCGAGACCGTGTTGAGTATTTTGTGTTGATGGAGCGATCGCGTCATCGCGCTCTTGTGTCGTTCCGCCGATACGCTTGCGAAATAATACTATCTTATAATTACGCCGATGAAATGACAAAGTACGTTCGCTCCTCCCGTAAGAGTAAGAAAGAGAGCGCGCGCGCGCGCGCGCGACAGAGAGCTCCAAGTTACCGAATGAAGAATCTCTACTAATTAAATAAACCTTATTTTTGTATACGAATTATTTCGCGCGACGTGCTTACCGCGTGTCATAGCAGCCTCGTCTCCGACAAACGTTCTCCGCTCGTAACAACTAAAAGATACACAGCGACTGAAACATGGCGTGGGATACCTCGGGAGGTTCCACTCTCGAGAGATCATCGATCCTCCGTGGATCGGCCGATCGCTCGCTCGCTCGCTCGCTCGCTCACCGGCGTGATGTCGCGCGTCCCTCGCGTTCGCTCGGCGAATTCCCGGCGAAATTCGCGCTACGTCCCGGAAAGAACTCGTCAGCTCTCGCGCACGATCGGTCGCACGTGTTTCGCCGTTGAAGACTCCTAGAACTCCTTGCACGCTGGCACCGCCGGCAAGAACAACGCGCCGGAATACAGCTTCTTGGGCACCGATCTCCAGGCCACGATCAACGCCTTCTCGAACGGCTCGTCGGCGCAGCCGTCGCACATGTCCATCACTTGCTTGACCTCGGCCTCGGCCGGCTCGCGCTCGTCCTCCTCGCTCGTCTCCTTCAGGTGCAAGCCGAAGCTCGTCAGTCCCGTGAAATAATCGTTGTCCAAGCCTTGAGGGATAGAGTAGCCGTCGTCGTAGATCGATCCGTCGCCCAATTGCAACAGTCCCCTCTTCTTCTTGTCGCTCTCCCGTTTGTCCAGCTTCTTCTCGTCCGCGGTCTCCGACTTTGGCACGAAGGACACCTGTCGAGTTGAAAGAAACATGACGCGAGAGCCATCTTGGAAATTATTTGCGCCGCGAAAGTACCCGGCGACGTGATGACGAAACATTCTCGGCTTCGTTCTCGGCGGTGATCTTTCTCGCCGAAGGTTCAAGGACCTTGATAACTCGGACGCTTAATAATTCTACCTACACATGAAAAAAATCGTGTAACGCGAAAATAACGCGAATTATCACACATTGATGGCGGCGCACGCCATCGAGAACCGCTGGAGAATGTGGGAGATTGAAAAAGCGGATGATGCGATTAACCGCGCCGCGGATCCTTCTCGGCGCGGCGGCGTAATGAAAAAGTGTGAGAATCCTTGGTGCGAGCTAAGTCGAGTGCGCTGATATATTATTTCCACTCTGATTCGCCGCGTGATCTTTTAATTTCCTACGTTAAGTAGTGGGTCGGAGAGCGGAGAGACTGAAAATTTCGCGCTCGTCTCGGGGAAGACGCGAATCTCCTCGAATTACCTGGCGAACGTGCACGTACATAATACACTAATATCCTCCAAAGTTTGAACGAAGAGAGAGAGAGAGAGATATTACACAGTACGGTGGACTGGTGCAGAGTGCTCGCGTCGCTTCCCACCGCCGAGTTACAAAACGACGTTCGAGAAGAAGTGTAACGCATGACAAATTAGACGAGTTGACGAAGGATTTTCCCAACAGCGAGCGTCGCGAGCATTTCCACTCCGCAACTTCACGCAAGTAAATGCATTTTTCTTTTAATTTTCCACGTTACATAAATAAAGAACACTGCGGTAGCGCGAACGTGTGAGAATTCTCGAGAATTTCCGCGCGAGTTCTCTTTTGATCCGTGATACGAGCGTGTCGAAACATCTCGTCTCGCCATTCGCTCGCAAATGAGAGACGGAAAACGAGCCGCGAGAGTCGGTCGTCTCGACGGCTCTTACCTTGCCGTCGGAGTCGTCGGCGGCGGCGGCGGCAGCCGGGTTTGGCGAGCTTTTCTCGGTGTCTCTCTTGGCGACGGGTCTCTCAGATTTGATCAAGCTCGACACCACCGTCTCGTCTTTGAACGTTCGTCGCTTCGACGACTCGTTCTTCTCTCTCTTGAAGAGGTTGTGATACGTCCCGCCCGGGAAGAGCGACGACGGGTTGCCGAAGAATCGCGTTGGCACGTTGGGGAACGCCGTCGAGAGCACATCGAGGTTCAGGGGCGGTAGCGGTTGCGGCGGCGGCGACTCCGGCGATATCGGCGGTAACGCGGGGTGACGAATGGTCACGCCGTTTCGTACGAGCTGGATCGCCGCTCCCGGATTGATCTTCACCTGCAACACCGGCAACGCGCGCATGAAGTATTCACGATCAACTTTTCAGCGCCGTCTCGCCGCGCGTTGACACGAAAAAGGCGAGAGAGAAGGACGCCCACGGACGGGCGGGAGGGGACGTCTTTCAACGTCTCGCCCGCGCGCGACCCCGCAAATTGTTTTGGCGCTGACGTTAATTAAGGCACCGGGCGAAAGTAATTAGCCCCGATGATGATGATACGGCGCGCCGGCGGTCGGCCGGCCGGCCGGCCGGCCGTGGCCCCGCCGGCTGCGACAAAGCGAGGAAACGTGATTGTACTTGTGTATTGATCTGTCCGCCGGTGAGGAAGGGATGCGGCGGCAAAGGCGGTCCGGTTACGGGCGCTCGCGTGGTGGTCCTCGGCGTGTTATTACTCGTATCGTGTTCGTAATGATGGGCGTGATGGTGCTTGTGATCTTTGTGCGCCTTTCCCGCGGTCAGGGCGACGTTGTAGAGCTGCAGCATCGTCAGCTCGCCCAGATAGCCGCCGGAGCCTGAAAGAGGAATCGTGGAATGTTTCTTTCACACTGGCCCGCCGCGCGCCGTCGATGATCTACGAGAGAGCACAGCGAAGCTCTCTCTCTCTGACATGCTTGAAGTTGCAAATGAAGCTGCGATGCTGCAGCACCGTTCACACCGGTGCTTGACGGACGGTGATGAAAAGCGTGTCGAGGTACTACGGCCAGCTATACGAGCAGCTCTGTTGCTGTTTAACGGCAATTTCTCTTCTCTCTTGAGATTGGATTTCGCGTCGAATCCTTTTACAACGGAGTTTACTCCGCGTAAACGTGTTCGTGTGTGTCCGTCATTATTAATAAGGACGCGCGCGTTCCCCCGCGAGCAATAGGCAGCTTATCGACTTTCTCCGCGAGTGCTCGCGGGAGGCACAAATATTTGCCATTTTCGTCGAAAGTTGCTCCTGACTCGACCCTATTATTTTCGCAAGTTATCGCGATATCGCGCGAGAGAAGAAAAGAAAGAAGGAAAGAAAAGAAAAAGAAAGAAACAAATTTCTCACCCGGTGGTGCTCCTTCGCCCTCCAAGAAACCACCGCCCAGCTGTCGTTGCTCCTGTCCCGAAATGGCGATGCCGCCGCCTTTGATCGCGTGGCCGACCAACTGCAAAAAACCACCAGCACATACATTTCTCGCGCGACACGCAGCAATGAGAAAGTCTGTCTGTTTCGCCGTAGAGTCCGTCGGCCATGTCTCGCGGCGAGTCGCAAATCGCGATCAATCAGCCGTCGGTCGGCGATCGAACGGCGATCGAATTTAATTGATCCGGAGACGAGAGCCGGACGAGAGAGAGAGAGAGAGAGAGAGAGAGAGAAAATCGGTGCATTAGCGAGATGCGCGGACTCGCTCTCATGTAAATAGAAACGAAAGTCGGCTCGCTCGCGTCGCTCCCCGACGTCGCGCGCGATAGATTGCACATCCGCAGCCGAGCGGCGTTATATGGAAATTTAAATTGGTTTCTGTCCTTTTTCATTATCTGAAGGTAACCTTGGCTATCCTCGGATGAGAATATACATATAACGCGATATGAAATTCTATACCTTTCCATTTCCCGTTTATTCTGTCCCGTCGCGCGCGCTATTCTTTCCCATTTCGTTTCCGTCCGACGCGATCCAGATAGAGGAAGGAAGAGGCGCTGTCTTGCGACGCTGCGATTGCAGCGCATTGCGAATAGATCTCGCGCTTAATTGCCGTGCCTTGATTGTCCGCTCGTTATGTGCCGTCTCGTTCGCTCACTCCAATTTACAGAATACGCCGCGATAACCGCCGCGATTTTTATTGTTTTTATCTATCGTGTCTATATATTGTGTCCACCATTGTGTGGGGTGGGTAAGGGGGCTAACGCGAGCATAGCGCGCCTGTCGACGAAATCGCGATGGCACGGCGGCTTTCGCGCGTGAGAAAGGCGCGACACATTCGCGACACGTGACTCGAGTGCGGGAAATGCCGGAAGCACGGTCTGCTCGGGGAATTCTTGGCAGGTTTAACATAAATGATAATTAAGATGACTGCAACGGAGGATTCTTACGTAACCATGAGATACGCCTCTGTGTGTGTGTGTGAAGCAAGAGGGCGGCTTTTTCCTCCACCGCGTTGAATGGAATGTTCCTTCTCGTCTGTTACGACTGTAATTCGCCCCCCAGCCGCCCGCGGAATGTTAATAAACGCAAACTTAATACACGCAATCGCCGCGTGGAGAGCCGCGCGGTGCGTTCTTGTTTCGCGAGGGTCTTAATTAGCCGCGCGTTGATTTTACGTGAAATTTGCACTTCTTTATCAGACGCACGTCGGATACCGTAAAACGCGCCCGCAACTCGCCCGTGTTATTTGCCCGGGGCAAATTAAATTTGTCTGAAACTTATCCCGCGCGCGTAATATTTACGACACTTTGAACTTGGGCGCGAAACAAGTTCGCGAGCGGAAACGGTTAAGCGATACCTTTCAGGTGATATTCCGTGTTGAATGTCTAGCAATTATTTCAATGTCGAAAACGCGCTCTCAAGCGCGGCAAACAATCTGCGCGACTCCCACGGTGGTACATTAGGCCGCATTTACAATAGGTGTGATAAGCTTTTTGCTCTAAGCTTCACCGATCACTTGCCTCTTCATCTCCTTTACGTCGCGATCTTTATAATATTTCTTATCTTTTGCGTACAACACAGGGGTTCGCTCGTACAATTGATTGTTATTGAAACTTTGTCGTCAGTGTCGGCAACATGTTCCTTTTGTTGTCGGAGTCGTGCCCAAATAACTTTTCTTATTGGCCGATTGGCTGAAATCGGTCTTAAGCTTTAATTCCCAACTTGAGAAGTTCGGATCCGCCCAACTCCCTGCATACAAATGCAGAAGATAATAAATATTATAAAGATCACAACAATGAAAGAAGCGAAATGGGGAGCGATTGGTAAAAGTTTGACGAGAAAGCTACAATTATTTGTTACACACCTTCGCCGTAGACCCGGCCTTAATCTGGCGATATCCCGCCAGATAGACATCCCGCGTCGCAGTAGTAAAAGCGCGCGCACAGTCAGCCGGCCGTTTATCCGCGAACAAATCAGTCGGTGCATACGAACGGAAGCACTTTGCGATCATTAATTGATTCCAATGGTTAATGCATTCATTCCGTGCCCGACGTGACGTGCAATTTCATCGTTGTTGACATTCGTATCAGGAACTGATTGCGCGGTATAATTAGACATGCATGATTGCGAACACATCGTACGCGTACTCCAATGTAACCCGCTGCACTCGCGAAAGCCTGTTTGACAACTTGTACTTAAAAGTGCACAGTAGTTTAGAGGGACGGAAAGAGAGAATTAAACGGGTGTTGCAATTGTCCAATTATAATTTATCACACCGTTACGTGCTCACGGGCCCGCTTTCCGTTAGGAACGATCGTAAAGCTCGGCTCGAGCTGAGCGCGCGCGAGTTTGTGCAATTTGTTTGTCGAAGAGTAGCAAGGACAATGCGTCATTCGTGCGCCCCTCGCAGCGACCCAGATTCTCGCCGCACGAGAAGTGCAATCTGAGAAACCGCGGCGTAATTCTTACGTATTATCATCGGCCATCGTAGCCTCGACATCGCTCGACGGCGCTCGATGTCGGCCGAGAGAACGATGCAACAAGCTTTGGTTGGGCTCTCGCGTAATCACGAGTAGATCCGTGCAGTGACAGGTGGTCCCGCGATGATGAGGGACGATCGGCGTCACTCGAGTGCGCGGTCAAAGTTACGCGTCGTCGTCGATGGTCCTCCACGTGCAAACGCAAGTGGGTTAGAGCGCGAGTCGCTGGCGGCACGGAGTTGCGGCAAACGAGTGGAGCAAAAGCAGAGCGACTTTCGACTCGGTGAGAGATTCTTCGGTTCACTTCTTTGAGGCTTCGCTCTCTTGCTACCGTGCCGACTTTGGCATTTTTGCGGAATAAATCGTCCTCGTCAGTCGGCTTCTCGTCGTATATCGCACAAGCGCACAAGATCCGCGCGAGATCCTTTGTCGACGAAGGTAAACGCGAGATATATCCGCGAGGATCTAATGTCAAGCTCGAATTATTGTAAGACCGTCGGGGAGAGACGCAGCCGATCGTTAAATTCTCTCATCGGGCCAGGCGCGATTTTAATTCCCGCCCGCGAAACGTGCCGCGTATCCGGCGGAGATTTCCGGAAGTATTTACTCGTCGACACAGCGCGCGCACCGCCGCACACAGCGTGCGGCGAAATCTTCGGGCGTGAAAAGCACGACGAACTCTCCCCGTCGTGTTTGACTGAAGACGCGCGAGAACCTCGACCTCCGAATATCGTGGAGAATCGCACACGTGGCTTGTTTACTTTCCACCAGCGAACCAAAGTTACGCGGTATATCCATCTATTTATTTAAGAATGTGCTCCACAGAGAGAGAGAGAGAGAGAGAGAGAGAGGCGCCGGGGTCAAAGGCAACATAAAGTCGGGCTTACCCTGTTGTTGAACCCGCGACCTACGCGCTCGTCGTTGACCCAGATCTGCCACTCCCCGGTGCGACCGTTCCAGCTCTGGCAGGAGTGGTACCACTTGTTAAGTCTCAACGGATAATTCAATCTGTACAAGTTGTGACCGTTGACGTTAAGCATGTAGTACGAGCTTCTTGGCGTGTTCGCTACCCACGACAGTATCCCTCGTGGCTGGTCGCCGACTGGAAGTCGAGGGTGCAGATTAGCTCGTGTGCGGGGGAGAGCGAGAGCGAGAGAGAGAGAGAGAGTTTCTCTCTGGGAGATAGAACCGACGTTAACGGTGTTATTAGACGACGAAACTGATGGAATTACTAATGGTAACGCGCATAAAGTTTCGAGACGTTACGTGACCGTGCGTATCGCGTGTCCTGTTGAAGGGAGGAAAGGACCAACGCCCGTTTTTCGTCCTACCAGTTTTCACCTAACCGGCGCGCGCGGCGGAGGGCAATCGCGATCGCTCGGCAAAGTTCCCCCCCGCGCTCCGCCGCGAATTTCGGCCGTTAATTTCGCGCGTATGCGATATGTTCTCCGGGAAGCTCGCAGTTTCCAAGACTCCAGGCAAAGAGATCGAGGAAACGAGTCTCTCCTTTTCCCGAGACCTCTCCGCGTTACTCTTTGTAAGCGCGCGATACTTGTATAGTTTTCACGCTGCGCCACGCTATATTTGCGCTTAGCGTATTGATTCTGGCAACCGGCGGGCGCCGGTTTTTAGACGCACGGGCGCAGTGGGACGGGTGCGGGGAAGGGACTTATTGTCGGTGTATTTATGACACCGAGCACATATCCGCCCATTGTCACGCTCGCGCGCGCGCGCGCGCGCGCACACCTCGGCAGAAAAAAAGAAAACCGAGGAAAAAGGAAGGGAAGAACCAGCTGTGTGCGTGTGCAGCTTTCTATCGGCACAAAAACCGCAAGCCGCCGCGGAACCTTTCTAAACTGCATATTGAAAACACAGCCGGCGCAACTTCATTGTTTGCACGCGAATGATAATATGCGCACGGGCGTAAATCGATCCTTATAACGGCATCGGCAGCAGCGCCCTGAGCGCGCGTGAATGCTGCTTACGCTAGCGAAGCGCTAATCCGCGAAAAAAGAGCGACTGCAGGCGGGGGGAGGGGGAGGGGGAGGGAGAGAACGCAGACGCGTGGGAATCGATTTTGCAACCGGATAAAACTGCTACATCACACACACACACACACACACACACACACACGTGCACGAGACGTGTGTGTGTGTGTGTGCGTATACGAAGATCGCGTATCCTTCAGATTAAATCGATGGCGACACGGCGGCTGCTGGTGTAATGTAATAATATAACCGTGCGCAAAACACACAGCCTGGATTCGCCGCAAAGAAGCGCTCTTCCGATGAGACTTCGCTCGGCTCGTTCAGCTCGAAACAGTCTCGCGGCGAGAAACAGGCAATTGCGCAATGCCATCGGAAACATATGAGAAATTATGTAACGCGTGTACGTATTTTTTCTTTTTGTTATGTTAGGCAGACCTGTCGAAAAATGCGCGAAAACAACACAAGTGTGTTATCCGTCATTTGCATCTGCACGATCAAACTTGGTGATCTCTGAGCGAATCTTTTTTGCGAGGCTCTTTTCGCCACTCGGGTGGCGAAGGGGACGCGCGACTTTGGTGGTCACGTGGACAACAATCGTGGATGCACGCGCGGGAAACACTATTTATATTAATCTCAGGCAACGTTTCAGCACCACCGCCCCGGAGTTCATTACAAACAATTGTGGTTTTCTATTTTTCCGCGCGCGATAAATATCACGGACATTGTATGTCCGTTTTTCTAAACGCTGACAATTGAATCCGAGCCGAGCCGTTCATTTGCAAGTTTATTGTCCGCTTATCCCGCACGCATGTCGCTGCGCTAGTAAACAATATATCAATTATGCGCAAACGAGGTCAACGGCGAATTAGCGCGCGGCGTAAAATTCGTTAATCAAACGCGTAACTCGCGCCGCAATTTAAGAGGGCGGCTTTACCGGCTTGCTTTTACTCCGCTAACGAGTTCCCGGCGTAATAAATACAAAAGAAGAATTACTCTCAAAGAAAGACGGAGAGAAAGAGAGAGAGAGAGAGAGAGAGAGAGAGAGAGAGAGAGAGAGAGAGAGAGAGAGAGAGAAGAGAGAGAGAGAGAGAGAAAGGAAGAGATAGAAACCCGTTTACCCATCTTTCCCATCAAGCTCAACGACGGACAAACGGGACATATGATTAACTCGTTGCGTCGCAAACTTGTTACCAACAAACCGAACACGACGATGCGCGCGCGACGTTGACAGTTTCATCGGCATCGTAACGTCGTCACCGACGATAACGTGCGAGATACTTTCGGCGATGAGTGCCGCGGACTTTCGCTTTCACGTTTACAATCTGTGCCGACACACACACACACACACACACACGTACGCACACACGCATACGCACGCGCGAACGCGTCGGCGATAAAAGGTGAAAGGAGAAAGAACCGAGCTTGCCGGCTCGCGTGCGCTCACCTGCGTAAGAGAACAAGGGATGGTCGTTGGAGTGATTGTAAAATTTCGTCCACATGCAGAGGGTGAACTCCTTCATGTCCGGCAAGTCCGTCTTGTAATGGATGTACTGCAAGAGGAAGAGAGAAATCGTGAGAGATCGTGCATCGTGTCGCCCACCGGGGCGCGCCGCGTTAATCTCACGGCTATCGCGATTCGCGCTGACGATGCATCGCCGCGTGCGCATCGCGAATTAATGCGCCCGATGTGTGACTCTGCATCGTCGGAATGTGCGCTCGCTCGCTCGCTCGCTCGCTCGCTCGTCGTTATTCCGCCTTACGTTATTAATCGACCGCATCGATCAACGGCGGTTCCCGCAAAAATGTCCGCGCTAATCCATTTGCAGCAGGGACGGATATTGCCGTTCGTTTCGCCTGCTCATTCACCGCCTGCGGAAGCGGACGTACTCGCGTGCGCGCGGTCGCGTGAGTCTAGGTCGGCAGGTAGACAGGACAGATCGCCGCAACTCTCGCGCGAGGAACAAGATATCTCGGGTTTCAGCCGAGGTAAAAGCGCCGGCCGAGGCAGGACGACTCTTCACGTGTTCCGGTCTTAAACTTTCAACGATTTAACGACGGGATGTACGTTAAAATTGGAATTCGAACTCTGGCGATTCGGCGGGAGTCTGCGAATGTAGATTGTCGAGTGCTCTCGATTTCTCGGAGAGAAATTTCGTTCGTCGAAGGAGAGAAAGAGAGAGAGAGAGAGAGAGAGAGAGCAAGGCGCGCGACGCGTGTTTCCTTCAATCCCACGCCGGTAGACGCTCACCACGTGTCTGAATTAATGGATTATATCGATTGTTGACACCGCACACACGATCGTCTGAAACCTCCGCACGAATCGTGCTGCGGTTCAGTGGGTACACTAAAACTGATGAACAGCGCACACACACACACATGTGGACGCATACACAGTGGACGCCGCGCCGGCGGCGAAATTGCGTGCTACGTGCAGAATCATGGCATAATAATTGACAATCAAACAGCGTGTTTGCCGTGCGACAAAAATACACATCGCGAGGCGAGGCTCGTTACATTTGGCGAGGCTGTTCTGCCCGCCGCCGCCGCGGCGCGGCGACGCGAGTGCGATGAGTTCTCGTGAGTGAATTACAAGGATCGGCCGAAACCGGCTGCGGATTAAGAATGCGCTCGAGGCGCACCGCGAGGTCCATTTATCGAAAAATGCAGACGTTAACGAGGCGGTCGTACTCGCTACTTCGATTCGCGACACAACCGCGCGTTCTTATCTCGTCACGCGGCGGATTGCATCCCCCGGGAACATTCCCGACCCCGAGAAATTTTGATCAGGTTCACCTAACATTGATAAGGACCTGATAGAATGAATGAAAGGTAATCCTAAGTAAGTCGCCCTTATAATAATGTCCTAACGACAAATGAGTAAGAAAGACCTTTATAAGGTTATAATGATTGGGTCCACATTAGGACCTTAATGTACCAACCTAGTGTGAGATATAATATGGTTCAGTTGATCAGGTCCTTGTCGGGATCTTATTCATTGTACGTAATATGATTTGCATTATCAAGTTTTAACGAAACAATTTTTCGGTGTCATTTCCAAATATAAAAATGTTTGCATTGAGAAAACACTTTAGGTCACTTGAATATATTTATAAAATGCTATAGAAACTATCCTTCTTTTAGCAGTCGATAAATAGTTGTAGAATTAACGTGACATGCAACTTTTCTCTTTAACACTACTACTTGTGTCTTGTCACCTTGCGATACTTAACGATCCTATGATATTCATTTTATGTTTCTTTCCCGAAACATTTTACAAGTATGCTCGAGCGATCTAAGATATTATTTCACGCGAGTATCTTTTTATTTGGAAATGACATGAAAGAATTTTCGGCGTGTCATTTCTTATTTCTAATGTCACCGTCCAATATAGCCGTGCAGCGCGTAATCCATAATTTGAATGCTATAATTTGAAAAAAAAAACGCAATAAGGATTCCACAAGGTAACTCAATAAGGACCTGACTATGAATCCTTACTGAGATCCTGATATATCCACGCTGCGTTAAATGACTAAATACTAGGACCCGATAGTATTACCTTATTGGGACCTGATGTCCAAATGAGGTTAACCTGATCAGGACCATGGGATAAATTTCTAGTCGGGTTGCGACTCTCCTCCATCTCGGCGGCGCACGACTCCCGACAGAGAGAACAAGAATGCTACTCGACACGCGCCGAAGAGCGATGATGACATTCTCCACGCTCCTGCAGCTTTATTCTCCGGCGACTGTTTCTTACGGGCCGCGCGACTTTTCAAGGAGGCGCGACGAATCCGACTTTTCAATCGGTCCCTCTCGAGGTGCCCGTCGTTATGCACGGCCTTTTTAGTCACACGTGACTTTTCGAGGAAGAAAGAGAGAGAAAGGGAGAGGGAGGTGCTTGGCGTTTTTTTCCCCGCGACAATTGCGCGAATTTACGGTCAATTGATTACGCGGTGGATTACGTGGAGGCGCGAGAGAGGCGTGTGTAGTCGCCGGGAACTACTTCTTCTTGCGCGAATAATTTCCCCGCCGCGAGGTGGATTTTGCGCCGAAAACGACCGCGCGATCACTCTGGCACAGTCGCGCCTGCGGCCGAGATTACTCCCGCGGCACCTTTTACGGACGTCGGCACGCATAAACTTCCCGCCCCGGGCTCTGCAAAACGCCCGCGTCGCCGCGTATTACGATCGGCAATACTGACAGGTAATGCTTCGGCCGGCCACTAAAAGGGGCCCGTAAATTCGACGTCTAGGATGAAATATTCAATCGTATATCCAACGAGATGCTCGTTCTCTCTCTCTCTCTCTCCCTCTCTCTCTCTCTCTCTCTACAGGTGCTCGCGTCAGGGCGATTTATAATACCCGCTGCTCTCTAATGACCTGTCGCGGGCTCCGCTGCAAGGTCGCGCGACGGAAAGATCGCGCTCGTACCCGCGTTTTCTTTTCTTCCCTTCTGGAAGATGCGCGCGCCAAGTCGCGGTTCGCGTCGACCCGAAGAGAAAATGGTAAATATATAGAAAAGAGTACACCTCACCGATTTTGTTCATTTCGAAATATGTTATAAAGGATGAAATTCTGAGTGACTTTTCCTAATACAATTATATACGGGGGTCGCTTATAGCTTCTGAGATATTTGACTCAAAAGTTTTATAATTGTACGTTGAAGTATATTTGAAGTAGACAAGCAGTTTTCACTTTAAATATAGGAAACAGTACATATAAGCGGGAGAGAGAGGGGCTCCGCCCCTCCCCAAACAAATCCTAACCTAACCTAACTTATTGCATCTTTATATTTTTATTCTATATATTTTTGGACATTGTTGAAAAAAGTTCTCTTAAGATCTATCACCTGGCTCGACTTAACTTATCATAATATCCGCATATGATTAGGATGTTGTGACTTTTAAGGAGATCTTGTCAACTTGTCGCCCAACAATATATAAAGCAATGCAACAAGTTAGCTCAGGTTAGGATGAACTGTTTGGATTGTACTGTAAATAACGACAGCTTATGATATCTGGATAATCCAGGATTCCAGGATAATCAAAATTCCAAAATCAAATTAAAATCAAATGTCTCGAAAACTATATAAGCGACCCCCATATAATTGTATTAGCAAAAATTCACTCAGAATTTCATCCTTTGTAACATATTTCGCTGAGGTGTACCCTCTTTTATATACCGAGTATTTACCGAGAAAATGTTGACAACGGTCGGAAAAGTCGGGAGGGAATACAAATGTCGATTTCTTTCGAGAGACTTTCATCTCGATCTTGTATCTACCTCGCGACGCGACACTTCCGTCTCCGCCGTGTGTGAGAAAACCGTCATCACGCACGACGAAACCGCGCTTAATATTATCGATCGTCGACAACAAGAGACCGGCCATTAATTGTGACGGAGAATGAAGTTGATGAACGATTTGACGATAGCATCGCGATAGCCTCGAACGAAGACGATCGCATAATACCGACCGGCCATAGAAAGTCACGAGCAGCCGCCGCGCCGCGGCCGGCCGCTTTGTTCCGTTCCGCGGATCCATTCACGATTCGCGATTTCGCGACACTGTCTCTTGCGTGCCTCCTTCCCTCCGGCGCGGCGCGGCCGTAATTACCCGCGTTGGCGTCCAGCCTAAACGAACCTCGCTTGGCATTGGACGGCTGGCTCTCGCTGATGAATAGCGGAGAAATATGTCCCGTCTTCGGCCGCTTTCCATCGCGCTCGATTTTACTATGCCGATCGTGTCCGTTAGATTGCCGCACCTCGCGAGAATCGAGATTATCACGATAATCTGCGAGTCGTGAAATTGCGGCCCCGTTCCGCGTCTCTTTGTTATTCTCCTGCTTCTTTCGAGCGAATCCACCTCGGGCCGGAAGATTTCAACGGACAGAACGCACTTCCCTCGCTGAGATTATCAGCGAGAATCACGCGGAGCGACATGCGCGACCGCTCCGTCTGGGGACTCGCGATCGGAACGTGATACGACGTTTTTTCGCAACTGAGTCCCTCCTCTGAGACCCTCCTGGAGAGTTTTCTGAATTGATATATTGCGACAATAATAGCGACGGCGGATTTGAAAGTTTACGTATTAATAGCAATTGTATCTTTTCTGTTTTCATTCACACGTCGTCATGAACTGAAGAAAGGACATTCACTTTGTACAAACGTACGGCGGGTAGCCGTGCCGCCGGTGAAGGCTGCTGATATACCGCCGTTCTAAATCAAACGGAATAGTTTGACTTCCTTTCTCCGTAAATCAACAGTCTGTTGTCCGTAACATGAGAAATATCCGCAGTGACAACGCGAGCGTTACGTCTCGTTCTCAGTTAACAGGAGTTAACTCACTCGACAACTCGATATCCCGAAACTGCTTTCATCGCGCGCGAGCGCATTATATAATCCGGCTATGAATTAGCGTAAACGCGACACCGCGCGCGACCCTTCGCCGCGTCGTCGTCCCGTAAAGTCCCGCGAGAGAGAACAACTGTCTCTCCGGCGGCTCTCGCTCTCATTACGCGGTCGTTAAAACACTTAATTTCACTTAGGCTGCGCTAACGCTGGGAAAGCCGCGATTCGGAAGAACCGTAACAATCGCCCGGGCACAATCGTGTCCCACCATTTATTTCTCCATCGACCGCGCGCCTCCATCTGGCTACTGTAAAAAATTAGACCCGCCGCGCAACCGTCGCTCTTGCTGGATCAGATGAGCGGGTAATTCACGTGGACGACGACGACGACGACGTTCGCTTTCTCGAGCGCGAGTTGTATCGGAAACGGACCGACTCTCGTCTCGGTCTCGCTCGCGACGAAGGAAACGCGCGCGCGCGCGCGCGCGCGCGGTGTGCCTCGGCCGTTTCGGATCGCGCGCGATCGCCAATAATTCAGGACTCGTTTCGAGAACTCTGCGCCCGAGGGGATCCGCCACGAGAGAGTGTTTTCCCTGACTTTCGTTGGCCAAGCTCGTGTCATTTCGCTTGCGCCGCGCGAGGTGCGCTCGGCACTCTCCCGAGCGTGAAGCGCGTGGCACGTGAACGGCGGAATTCCGCATGTTTCGGGTCGCACGCGAGACACAATTGCCGTAAATTCTCGCAATTTATTCCGCGACGCGGACGCACGGAGCCGCGTAATGTCTGTCTAGAGAAACCCGTGTCTAAACGTCGTCGTCGTCGTCGTCGTCGACGACGACGCTCTCGCGTCGCGAGGAGCCGAGCCGCGGCGCCGATATTAACAGCCGATATCGCCTTCCGCATCGCGGACTGCCGGCGAGACTGCGCTAATTCGAGAGCCGGAGCCGTATTCCGTGAGATCTCGCTATTTAGTCGGAATCAATTAATATATTAGCCAGCGGGGACCGCGACTCATTTCCCGGTGTATTTTACACGTCCGTGGGCTACAATGTCAATAGCTCGAAACTGGAGCAAACAGCCAAGCGCGTACGGCTTGGGAAACAAACATTCTATAACCGGCGGTATTGATCGCGTACGGCCATCGTGATCATTGTCGCGCGGAGGTTACTACTCGCGCGTGTATTTACTTTGCGCCTCGCGCGCATTCGAGGTGTGTGTATTCCACATTGCGCGACGCGTTTTTCTTTACATACCCGAGCGACCGTTGAACATTTCAACTGTGCAAATTATCGAGTTTCTCGATCGCCGCCGCCGCCGCCGCCGCGGGTCGTCAAATTCCTCGATTGACATCTCAATCTGGAATTCTGCAATTCGCGCGTCGCTATCACCTCAAGCGCCGCTCGGGCTCACCTCAAAGTACAGCTGCTGGCTCATGGCGACCTTGTAGAGGGAACAGCTCTCTTCAGCCTGCGGCAGCAGCAGATGGTGGTGCGGGCTGTCCACGTCGTAGAGCGTCTGCGTTGGCGCGTTTCCGAAAATCGATGCCTCCTGGTGCAGTATACTCGCGCTGCTGTGCGCCGGCACGATCGGTCGCCAGGACGACGAGATCGCCAGCGCGTCGCGCGACGCCGCGACGAGAACGGCGCACGCGATCGTGAAAACGGACGTCATTTTCGGCCGGCTCATTCCCCTCGAGTTACCTGGAAACCGAAAGAAGAACGGGTCCGCCCCGCATTAATCGCAACCCGGGGAAATCCGGCCAGGTGAAAGGTGACTCGTCGGCCGCGTTCTCGGAGCATTTCGGCGGCCGAGCGGAGTACCTGAGTTTTCATTCTCTTCTCTTTCACGAAACGTCGCGAGATATTATACTTGGTCGCCGCGCGCGAGTCTTCTCGATTGGCGGCGTTTCCATTAATATATTTCCTCGAACACGCGCTGCGCGCCCCGCACTCTCTCGAATGAAAGTGATTCGCTCGCACGCGCGCGCCTTTGAGATGAAAATCCACACGTTGCATTATCGATCGCGTTGCCGTCGGAGGGAGGGAGGAAGGAAGGAAGGAAGGAAATCTCTTGCGGGCACAGATTTACGCGCACAGGGGGTGAAGAGGGAGAGAGGATAAAGGGGGAAGAGCGAGTTCCATCCGCTCGGTTAATTATAATTGAAGGCTCCGCGAATATACACTGTCGCGCGCGCGGCAGCAAACAAAACCCGGGGAGAAGTTACGTGAGAAAAACCAGGCGCGGTAAAAACGCGCGAGTAAAAACGCGCAGGACGCGAAAAATCCGCTTCCGATGGAGGAGAGCGAAGTTCGCGCGATTGCCGAGCACGAGCCACTCCGCTAACGTGTAACGCCGAGAAGAATGCCGGGGCACACGCAACAGCATCACGTTACGAAATTTCATTCAGGCGAGCGTGACGAGCGATACGCCGCTTAAGAATGCTTAAGCGGCGTATCGCCCTTTCCTCCGCGCTATGCGCGCGGAAAGAGAGAGAGAGAGAGAGAGAGAGAGAGGAAGACGGACACAGAGAGCTTGTTACGCATTTTGTCGTGTCGATCGTCTTTGATACGACGCGATCTTCGACGTCGAGCGCTAAACGGCCTGACAGAAAAGTTACTGACAGATAAAGATGCAAGTATGCAGATATCGCCGATGAATGACGACGCTCCCCGCCCCCGCGCGTTCGCGCGATGTGAACTGGATTTTCCAACGCAGCTTTTATGTAACGCCGTCGTAAAAGCGGCGACGCGCGTCCGCATCGCCGCGGCGGGAAACGCGAGAGTCGTATTAAGAAACGGGCCGTATTAAGAGCGGGCTTTCGTGCTCGATATATAAAACGCCGTTATCAAGGCGCGCCGCGTAGTAGTTGCGCCACTTCACGCAATGGCGTGCTCCCAATAAAGCGCGCGCGCGCCTAATGATTTCTCCTAATTACGATTTCTTCGCCTTTCGATTTCCAAGTGCGATCGCGACACCGGTCTCCCGCGTCCTCTGCGGGATTTATTTTGACGTTTAATTGAACGGCGGATCAATGCTCGCGCGTTATAATGCTCGCGCGCGCGCTTTCGAATTCGGATCCGCGCGCGTGCTGATAAATGGCGGAACGTACGTTCGTTCGTTCGTTAATATCGCCGGATGCAAAAAGACTCGCGCGAAATTGCCAGCGCCGATCGACGACGAAACTGGCGCGATTCTGGGTCCGGATTCGTCAAGCGCCGGCGAGCAACGAAACTGAAAGGCGCTAATAAAGGAGCGGTATTTATTATCGGCTTATCAGGTATATATATTTTATGGCTTTCGATAAGAAGGATCTGCACTGCTTCGGCGAGAAAAATGCACTCCTACATGCGCGCGTTAACGCGCATGTGTATGTGCGGGCGGTGTGTTACGGTCGGATAACAACGCGCGCGGGAGAAACTCGCGCGCGAGGTGGGTCCGAAATCGAAAGTTGAGATGTTATATACGCGTACGTATAAAATATACGCCGAGAGAGAGAGAGAGAGAGACTCTCGTTTCCGCAGCGTCACGTGATCGGCGCGATATCACCTGCGGGCAGATTTTACCTCCACTCTTTGGCGCCGTGGTTTCCGCGCGATATTAATGACGCCGATAATTTAATCAGAGCCGCGAATTTCACAAGAGCTGCTGCGCTTTTCCGACGCGCGACGATTTTTACCGGCCGTCGCTTTTCGCAATTTGTCTCGCGCTCGCGACGGTGGCTCTGCGTGTAATTACCGATCAATCAGGAACGCGCTTCGATACACTCGTCGGCTCATTTGTAACCTGTCAGACCTGATGTCAGAGCGGCACCGTTACTTTTGCTATCAAGAGTTCCTAGATCCTAAACATCCGTCAGATAGCCGTGCGTGTCGTTTGTGCGGCCAGCACGCTCGGCTTCGTAGTTGACCGTGATAATTGCACGTTACGTTTATACCGGTCGCTATCCTTTCGCCCGCTTATGATTTTCCCGTTGTCGGCGCGGCGTTCTCATCAGCACGATCCTTACCACCGAGAGAAACGTATATGATATTTGAAACTATAATGATGTAGTAACTAAATTATAGTCCGAGATATCGTATTTATATATAACTATGCGGTACATTATCATAATATCGGTAATAATTACGATATAGGCAATTGCGATATAGTAACCATAACCAACTGTGCAATATTTTTACTAAGAATTATAGTGAGTTGAACCTAAAATTATTGTATGGATACAAGTATAAAATGGTAGGTAAAAGTAACTCTTTAATATAGTCAATATTACCAGCAGAATATTCGCTAAATGATGACAGATGTAACTATATGAATATTAAATCTCACTATATGTGTGAATGAGAAATTACCATATATGTGGTTACCATATAAAAGTAACTAAACGACTATTTAAGACAATCATTGACTATATATTTGTGTTTTTTTTTTTTTCTACTACTATACTTTGCAGGTTCCACAAACTATAAGAATATGGCTGACGCCAAAATGAACTATAAAATATAGTGAGATTATATGTTAATTCAACAATATTTTTCCATCGGTGTATTAATGCAACCGTTATTAGTGCAACTCTGTCATGAGAACCCCCCTGGCGTGTTTGGCGCGGATTGCGGTATATTGTAACATAATCACACGCGCTCGCGCGAGCGCGAATTGCGTGCGATCAGACGAATTGCGATCAACGGTGAAAGTTATCAGCGCGAGGATTAAAACACAGCCGGGTGTGTCTCGGCGACGCGAAACGACCGTGCCCTTCGCGCCCGAATCATTGCCGCGATCTCCGCGTCGGATCCCGGACAGCGTCGCGGTCGCGATTCTCTCGTGACGGCCGGATTTCATGCGCATTGCGAAATGATCAGAGTCGCAATCCAATTATATCTCTCTAGCCGATATCCAGGTCGATCGTGTTAACAGCGAACGAGCAAGCAGTATCGCTCGCGGTAAATTCCCCGGGAAATGGGAATCGCAATTTACACGAGGCAAACGAGAGAGAGAGAGAGAGAGAGAGAGAGAGAGAGAGAGAGAGAGCTCTCGTTGGCCAGGCGACTTCTCCGCGACTTTACCTTTCTCTCGCAGGAAAACCTGCTCCATTTTACTGAATAATGCTACGCTCGAAAATACCTATGCTCTTGCGGGGCTTGTTATTTCGCAGCAAAAGGGCTTCGGGCCGTTTAACGGACTATCCGCACTGTTCACACTTGATCGCGGCGCGCGATCGCGAGTCGAAACTCGACAGACCGAGTGCACTCTTCCGTGAGAATTCACAAGCTCTGTTGCGCGGGACGCCGCGCCGCGCCGCGCCGCGTCGCGCCGCGAGCAATGCTCGCTTTTAAAAGTCCAGCAGCGGAAGGGCTAGGTTAGCAGCACTATGTAGGGCGCGCGCGCGCGCGAGAGAGAGAGAGAGAGAGAGAGCAAGAGAGTCTCGAGGCCATCGCGCGAAATCTCGGAAATCCATAAGACGCGCGAAACTCACCCAGAGGTAGGCGATCGGCGAGCTCCGCAGCGTGGAGGGAGGTAGATCCTCACGGTCTCGAAACGGAAAGGTAACTGCCCGCTCGTTGAGCTCGCCGTGGAGCTCGTAAACTCGCAGGAGGTGTATACACCTCTCCTACCTGCCCGTTTGCGATACACCTCTTGCCTCCTCCGCGGCCACGCTCGCTCGTCGCGGCCACGTTGTCGCCGTGTTTCCCACGTGTGTGCACCGATTACGCCCACTGCTCTCCGATGCGTCGCGCCCTCGTATGGTACGCATATGTGGGAAAGTGCGAATCGCGCGTAATCCGGGTCGGCTTTAGCCGAGGGAAGTGGCATTTTCACGCGGAGTTGCTTCGGCGAGACGTGTCACCGGGGAGAGCTTTCTTCAAGCGCCGAGGCGCTTTTGTTGGCGACCGTCGGCGCAGGCAGGACGACGGGGCGGGCAGAGGAGGCCTGCCGAGACGAGAAAGATGGAAAATGGAAAGTGGATATCCGCGTGAAATAAAGTATCTCCGCGGCTTTCAGTCGTGCAGCCTTGTGAAGCGTTGATTCTTAAAATTATCTGGAAATCGATGGACGCGCGCGCGCGCGATCGGAAAAAGCGAGCAACTGAACCGGCGCGGAAAATCGTCGGAGCGCGCTCGACCTGAAACGCCGGCGAACGGCAGCCAGCGCGAACGATTGTCGCCTTCCCCGGCCTTGAAAAGGAACTTTGCGATCTGTAACGCCAATTTCCAGCGATATCGTAACGGATATCGTGAAAAACGCGTTTCTCGCGGTTACCGCGACGACCGTTACTAAGCTGTCGCGCTCACTCGCGTTACTGCTTGAATCGCCGATTGAATCCCGAGTGCCCCGACCGGCTTTCCTATAAGGTAACGGTACGAACAGTACACCGATGACGAGTCTATAAATATATCGGAGACGAGACGAGATGGGTATTATAAATAGATTTCAGATGATGCACACTCTCGGTCGACCGTACCGGCCGGCCGTGTGCACACTGGGAAGAAAAATTTAGTATCTCTAACAAAGCTGGTTTAGTCGAGGCATTTTTCAATAGCGACCGAATATCTTGTTCTATATACAACAAAATATCATTAGTTGTCTCAACTAAATATATTCTTTCGCTTTGTTCTCTGTTACCACCAGATAATTTTGTTCTTAGACTTCATATATAAAAATTAAGCGTTTTATTTTAGCTATATTGTCCATAAAAATTACATAATAACGAAATATTATTTTACATAGACTAAAATAATGCCCAATCGATACTATTTTTCGTCTTTCTGTGCACCAAAATTTAGATTTTATGTATTTAAAAAAGATTGTAGTATTTTTTCACAAAATTCACACAGTCTTTTTGGTTGCTGTAACAAAAGTATTACGTTATACGAGCAAACCGTAATCAAACAAGATATTTGTTCGCAGGAACTAAACAGTTTTGTTTAGTTCCTATTTTTAACCAAATTATTTTGTCGTTGCAACAAAATTTTGGTTCACGCAACAATACATTTTTCCTAGCGCAGGTGCGATTGCTCAATCCGTCGCGCCGAGGTGCGTCGAACGCCCGTCTAAAATTCGAATCCACCACATTTGAGATTCTTTCACTCGTCAAGAGATCGTCGAGTACGGATAAAATCTCGCGAGTGATATACGCCTGGGGGAGGGGGGGAGGGAGGGGGAGGTATACATTCTATCGGACGGAAACGATTTCTGGCATTTCCGAATTGTGGAAACTAAATTCTGCTATTTTTAATCGGAATTTCCGAGTCGTTCGTATTTCAGCAGGGAACTGGTTCGTACGTTCGTTCGAGCAAACATTCCTTTCCGTGTACATAAAGCGCGCACACGAGACGAGCGGCCGCGCTTTTTCGCTTACGCGTGCGTCCGTAATCCGAGCGCGATGGAGCGCGTTTCTCCTCGCCTTTAGTCCGCTTTTACTTTCTCGTTAGGCGCGTTACACAGCGCGCGCGCGTAATCGCCCGGACTTGACAACGGCTGGAGATCGAGCGCGTGTGCGGGCGTCGCGTTTTCCAGTCGGAGAGATAATAACGCGAATCGAATGCGAATCGAAGAGATGAAATAAGCGCTGCTGACAGTGGATAGTTCATCGAATCCCGAACGAAATGACATCGACCGATGCGCGCGCATTATGCGTCACCGAGATCCCTTTCCGTATAAATCCATCGGGTTATCTCCATATCCATGGGGGTGGGCAGGAAGCGGTTTCCCAGGGTAGCGATTTGCAATTCGAGAGGCGCGTCTAAACATCCTCTCGAGATTAAAAGGCGCTCTCGACGCGGAGGCATTCAGAAACGACCCGACGTGTAATCGTAGACGGATAAGTGGGACGATAATTAGCATACATTATACGTCCCGTTTATCGACGCGATGTACTCCCGAGCCAATTCAAGGTGTGTCAGAACCGACTGATCTCTCGCGAACAAGACAGATTTTTCCGCGGGACGACGACGACGACGACGTCGACGTCTCGGCGAAATTTTCGCGTAAGGACTCGCTAAAAGATACCTTGCTCAAATTCCGCCCGACGAGAAACGAGGAAATCAAATTCGCGCGCGATTTCTCGCGAGTCTCGAGAGGGGAGAGACGGCAAAATTGCCAGGAGCAAACCGCAGTTGGAAGTGTACTCGCCGAGAGAGACCCGCGAATACCGCGAGACTGCGGCATCTCCGACGACGAAGGCAGGCAAGGCAGGCAGGCAGGCAGCGTCGAAGGTGGTGAACGTGTCGTCACCGCTCGTCGTACGACCGCCGGCGACCGCAATCTTTTTTCCTCGGTGCTCTCCTCCGCTATAGAAAGTGAGCAGGCGTGGCGCATGAAGTGTAGAGCGCGAGGGAAACGCGCTGTATAACGAATTGCGAAATGCAGCACTCGGGGACCGGACCTGAACCGAACCGAACCGAGCCAAATCAAACGCGCCTCTCTCTCTCTCTCTCGGCCGCGGTGGCCGCGGATGCCCCGCGGCCAAATCGAATCCGGTCGAGGTCGGGTGGACGAAAAGCTTCCTTTCTAGATCACATAGAACCGCGGCAGCGTCGACGGCGATGTGTGTTGTCACACGTGTCAACGAAATTGCCTGTCAAAATCCAGAGCCGGTGCATAAAACGCCCCGGGCGTCTCCGAGACTCCTTTCTCCGCGGGCGGGTATGCCGCAAAGCGCGTTACGTGTCCCTGTCTTTGACATAACGATCGCGGCGCGGCGGGGGACGAACGGTGTCTTTGTTGCGAAACGCGCGTGGAAAGATCGGCAGGTAGCTCTGCGATTGTATGATGGATCGCTCGTGTAAGGCCGAATTTCGACGTCTCGCGTCGAATTTGCGAGATTGCGACGGCCGGCAATTTTTAAGTGCGAGAGGCGCCCGGCCATGAGCGATCCCCCTCCCTCCCCCCCCCCCCTCCTCCGCCCCGTATCTTCGAGCTTCGGCTTGATATCGCGATCGCTGATCGCGAAATTAATGTCTCGCACGCGTCGCTAATGCGCGCGGGCGCGGTTCGCTCAGGTATGAGATGCCGCGAGATAACCGGCGGAGCGGAATTTTCGAAATAATGTCTAGTCGCGCGCGCGGCGGCGCGCTCGACAATTAGCTCGAGATCTCTCGAATGGGTCGATCGTGACGGGACGTCGAGAAAGTCTATCTATCTCGTGCTATTTTTCCTCCCCTCCGCCGCGCCGTCTGGCTTCTCGCTGCTTTTTACTTCCCCCCCCGTTTACTTCAGCGAATTCGGTCAACGTATATAATTGACGCGCGCGAGTCATATGTCCGTCGCGTAAGGACATCCTGCTCTCGGCTACACGCGGTGTAACCGGTGCCACGTATCGGCATCATCGGGTTTCAAAACCGGATTCGGAGAATGCACACGCACACAATATGGTGACCGAAAAATCTCTCCTTCTCTCTTTCTCTCCGATACCGTTGATCGCGTTGCGCAAATCGCGCGCTATATATATATATATATATATATATATATATATACACAACGGCGGATCGCCTTACTTTTTCTTTTTCTCTTTTTTTTCCGAGAAAGAGAGAGAGAGAGAGAGAGAGGGGGGAGGGAGAGGGACACGATCGGCCCTCAGAAAATCTGTTTGTAGGCGCGTTAGAGATCGCATGAGTCACACCGACGTCGTTATGTCCACTTGCATCATCCGGCATGCTGATGAGAAGAAAACTGAAATTGGAGCGAACGCTCTCGGCGCCAACGGCGTCGGACCTTTCCCACGAAACTGTATGATCGAATCGCGCGCTCGTGGTCGACCCTGCTCGTGGCGGCGGGCTGGATGGATGGATGGATGGACCTAGAGCTAGATAGATCGGAGAGTCGGACCCGAATTGATCTCAACTTGAACTGTGACCGGCTGTAATTCAGCGCCCGGCTGTATCGTGCTTTCACTTAATGATCCCCACTTATTTCATTCCGCCTTGTTACTATCGGCAAGCACTTGTTTATCGCGGCGCGGCGCTGCGGGGCGGTCGGCCTGGCCGATTGTCCACGGCTGCTTTATGTAACATTTCTCAATCAGCGCGATATTAGATTGATGGATTTGCATCGTGGATCGGGAATCGTCTGGAAAGTTCGGGAAGAATCGCTCACGAATCGGCCGCGCGAGTGTCGAAACGTATTTTATTCGCTACGATTGCTTCTCGAATTGTAGCTGTTATTTACGTATGATTATATCGCGCGGATTTATGCAACGTATGTGTGTGTGTGTGTGTGTGTGCGTATGTTCTAATCATGTTAGCATTAGAAATACGTGTACATTTCCCCGACACACTTTCCGCATGAGAAATCGCGCGCTGAAACTCGCGTGAGGTCGCGTCTGATGATCAATCGCTCGCAATTGTGCCGCCGGGGCGTGCGTATTTACTTGAAGAATCGTAGCGCCGCAAGATACAGGAGAAACATTAGTTCAGCTGACGGTGAGGCGTTGCGCGTTACTTCAGCACCGGATGTATCGACGTGTGAGACACACAATCGTGCGATTGTTATTCGGACCGACCGAAGCACGCCTTCGTATCTACGCGGGCCTAAAGTAGGGCCTAAAGTAGGGCCTAAAGCAAGGGCCGTGCGAGCCCGGAAGCGGGTAAACGCGCGAGGGATTCCGGCGAGGGATCGTCCTGCGACCGACCTGCGAGAATATAAATCGCGACACGCGCGAACCTCAAACTCATTACGCAATCCGCGACGGAACGGCGACAGCTGCCTGGCCGGGGGGACGCGACAAGCCCGCGATGGTTTGCGAGATCCTATCATCGCCTGGCTGCAATGATTACCCGGGCAGACAGTCTGAACTGGTTTCTGTCCTTGCCTATTTGCAAGATATTACATATCGATATCGCCGGCGATGTCGCCGTTCCGCCACGTAACGAAGCTTACTGTTGGCCGCGAACCTCTCCCAGAGACTTGTCAATCGAATCCTCCGTCGGGCTACTGTGAATGAATGCCCTCCGGTTTCCAGAGTAGCTCTTGCCCTTTGACATGGTCACCTCACCTTGAAGAGTCGAGCTAGCCAGATAGATTTAATATCCCGGCTGTCTCGGAAGTTGATCTCCAATTGATTTCCTCAGTCTCGACAGGTGAAATGAAAATACGTGAAAATTGACGGGCGTCGAGCGCGAACGAATGGGTTTGCTCTCGTGCGAGAGGCGGGGCGCGAACTTATATAATTCTATATAATTCTATACAATTAACGTCGCATTTATACAACGGAGCGATTATGGATGGCGGGTGCGGGGTTGAAGCCGAGAGGAAGGGGAGTGTATCCTTGCACTTGATATTCATGCGCTGTGCACATGCACGCGTAACACGCTTACCGACAGCCGACGAACGAGGTCGAGCAACTCGCCGGCGCGAGTACGTGCGCCTTCGCGCGATCTTCGATCGAGCTTCTAATTATGCATGCTTTTCTTCATTAC